TKTGGGATCTCTTTAATGGGGTGAGCTTTGTAGTCTCTGACTCTTCAAGATTATTGCAGAATTATCTGCAACACACTCATGCCAAAGCTGCTGCTGCTGCTGCTGCTGTTTTGACATCTGTGTAGCATGTTTTTTGCTATTTAAAGAACAACATATTTTTGCTATTCTTCACCTGCTCCTTCTCTCAGTTGTTAGGATCTTTCTGAGGCGACTRAACCCATGTGCCCTGCGCAGCAAACCCAGCACACCTGCCGTGTTTGCACAGTGGGGCCTTGAGGAGAATAAAACAAACTGTGGAGGCAGTGATAACACTGTCTTAGCTATGTTGATACTCCTGTGTTGATATTGCTTAACCATCTGTTTGCTGTTATTGGGTGTGCTTGGATAGATCAGCCCTTTCTCACAATTGCTTGTTTTGCACTTTATCACCATTTATCAAATAGGGTTTGACTATTCTCCCAGAGTCTGTTTGCAGTTTGGGTCACAGTGATTTTTTTTTCTATAGCAACCTGGTAGTTTGATTGAGATTCAGTAAATGTTAGGGATTCAGATTTTTATTTTTAGTATTGCCATCTCTCACTGTGAAATTGTTATTCTYTGAGTTTAGCTCATACATGCCATTTCCCAGTCATGAATGGCACTGGCCGAGGTACATCAATCATGAATATATAAGTTTCCATTCCCATGGTATGTCATGTGGAATTAGATGTTCAAGGGTATTTTTACTAGTCAGATGTGATTCAGACTAATTTTGTCAAACTCGTCTTAAGACAGAAAAGCAACCTTATGAAGCTGAACAAGGCAGAGCAGTCATTTATTAATCTGCTAATCTGTCCATATGTTTGGACTGAACTCTTCCACCTGGTTTATATTGTTGGAGTGATCAAGAGAATAAGGAAGTATGGCAAAACATTGCCCAGAACACTCTAATGTCTGGTTTTGGGCCAGGAAAAAAAGCTGTTAAGCCACTAGTGCTGCTGTGGTTAATGCCAGGCTTTGCACCAATTCCCAAAATACTGTAAAATATAAAAGCTACTTTGATGGCTAATRCTGCCCATAATTACCTTTTTGAGGTGTTGCATTGCTCGATCTCCATCTCAGCCACTCCAAGTAATATCAGCTTTCTACATGATAGACTTTGGCTGAGTGATTTAAGGTCTGATTTTTGAAATACTGAGTACCCATAATGCTATTTAAGGTTAATGGGAGCACAGACTTCTCAGCAAAATTTAAAATAGGGTGTCTGCACTYAAACGGGAGATTTTAGTTTAGCAGTCACAAGACCGCTTAAATGATCAATCTGAATTCTGGATTTCTTCTGGAGCTGATTTTTTTTCTTTTGCAAAGCCTGAGCCATGTCCTGTTATAACCCTTTGTTTTTATTAATTTGTTTAGTCAGTATACAGCTAGCAGAATAACTGGCATATAAAATTAAGAGAATTCAGTTATAGTATATTTACTTCTTCATARTGTTTTATGGCAGTAGTCTGTTTTCTGTTGGATTGAATGACAAGAAATTAAGTTCTGCTGACATGCTTTAGGGTTAAAATAAGAATAAAACAATGCTCCTTTATACATGTGTCTGGTGGGTTTTTCAAGGCACTGAACTATAGTCTTTTGGGCATGTAGGTCAGTCTTTCTTTAAATATGTGATGGCTCCTGTTCGATTGATGAGCTTTATGTTCCCCAGCTTGAAATCAATAGTCCTCAACTCCTGTCTACTCCAACTGTTTGAGTTTTCTTATAGTAATCTAATGTCAGTTAAACATACATCCTCTCTGGGTGACAGGTACATCCTCTTTCGTTCTCTGCTTTAGTCAGATTTGTTCTGTTGTTTTTCACTCAAACTATAGTGATTTTTTTTGTTTTAAGCCAAGCGGTCTGTTATGGCTTCTGGGATAAGTGCATCTAGTGGAAGGTGGAGAGGCATCCACCAAACTCATATAGAGCCTCTCATAAATATATTTTGTCTTTTCATTTTTAAAACAAATATACTCCTTTGATATGACTCTGGGCTCTGCAGGGAATTCTGATTCTCTGTCTCAGTTTGAACTGAAACAGTAATTTTGAGGTAAGTAGTTGATGTCTGATCTTCAACCCACAGATCAGCACTATCAGTAGTTGTGACWGAAAAGAATCACTACAACGTTTGTAATCCCTGTTACTCCATACCTGTAGGAGTCASTCCTTTGAAGGTTGTGATTGTGTTTTCACTGGGCAGCAGATTGAAACCATTGCAGAARCAGCAGTACTACCAGGGCTTCATTGTAGTAAGATTCTTTGCCCAACTAGAAAAACCTTCACTCTTTCATCCTTTAAAGCAATCTTCCTCTTAAATTATAATGCAGTAGAAACATTGTGTTATTAATTGCATTTTACAAAATTAGCTTAATGTAAAACTAATTAAAACTGTGGAAGCTGGATTATACTAATGTGGTCTTGTAAACACAGCAGAATTAGGAGTTGCGGGTGAGCAGCTGGTTACAGAATTGAAAATACCTATTCCTGTTGTTATTTTTTAGTAATAGTGGAGGAATTTGTACATTGGATTTGGTACAGCTCTGTCTACATAACAATGACCATGTAGTGGTGTCATTTCTAATTCTGTAGCCACTTAGACTCATTTATCCCCAGAGCTGTTGTTCCTAAATTGGGAACAACTATCTTGCTGGCTAAGAGACCTGAGAAAACAAGGAAAGAAATGGGTTCTCACATCCTATCAAATAGCAGTGTTCCTCATTAATGCTYCACATGTTCTGATGTCAGGTGTTTGCACAGCTCTGTCCTGTGGCTTCCACTGTGTGAACATAGCAYTAGAGGATGATTGGAACTGCTGAGTGTGATAAAAAGATTGTGTTTGAATTATGGCAAAAATCCAATAGTCCATCCATAATAAAGCCGAAGAATTTTTCATGTGGTCAGTTAAAATATATATTTTGTCTCATTGCCATAGATGGAATGARCAAGAGAGAGAGAACATTAAATTCAGACAGCTGCAGAATGGCCATAATGTGGCTCTGGGTGTCAGCAGTATGAGTAAACAGAGGTTTAATTCAGACATATTTTCATACCCCAGACTCCTATTCCCAATTCTCTGTGTCAGGAAGAATGCAGTTTTTCTGGTGCAGGAGTAGCCCTTATTTTTTCTATTCATGAAATTACATTTAGAATGTTATTTATACACTTTGCTTATAGTAAGTAACTGGCAAATGTCGAAGGTCTATTGCTAGAGCTTAATATTTAAAACAGATTGCACAGATGGGGCTAGAGTGTTACTCACCCAGAAGAAATGCTGAGTGTTAAGCCTACTAAACCATTCCTGGCAATGACAAAACTGACGAAATTTGGCCGTCATAAACCCTGTGACAAAAAATGTGCCATCTGCTGGCCAAGGAAGAAAGTACTCGTTAGACGCTGCGATCCCTGGRTAAAGCACTCCAGCGTGATTCCAGCAGTAGGGGAAGCTGGGTGTTTTGCAGAGCTCTTCAGCAGCAGAGCTGGAACAGGCCTGGTCAGGAGTTTACCCACATCAGARTATTCCATCTGATGTGATAATTGAAACTTTCTGTGGTAACAAGTCAATGAGAAAGGGAAATGTTCCGTTCTAAAAATATCCACACATTCTRTTTCAAAATTTTTAGACATGGAACACTGATTTTTATTCCAGAATGATTTTTAAAAAGAAATTATTTTTGTATATTATATAAGCAAATTGGAATTTTCATCTTTGTATTAAACATGAATGAAATCTCATATCATCACTGTAGCATATGGTAAACAACCACTCAGTCCCATGTCTCACTGCTCATGGTTGTGTATGTGTGTTCTGTGGGTAGAACACATCAAGAGCTTGATTGTCTTTTCATTCAAATAAAGGAGACTGGAAATAGAAAGAAAACTGTTTTTCTTATATTTGCATCTTTATTTCTTTATTGTAATTTTTGCATTAATTCCTTAAATTGCTACTGTAATTTAAAGAAAAACTGTTTTGAGTTTATACTACTGTTAGTAATTCATAATACTCAAAGAGTTTCTAGTTACAGCCAAAATCATACCAACCAAATATTCAGAAGAAAACAAGTAGAGAATTATAGATAACTCTCAAGGCTTTCATTTGCTTAGCTTTCTAAGTTTAGTTCGTGTCAAAGCAAGAATAAATCCTTTGCATATTGTGCTGCAAGGAAAGGAATGAATTAAAAAATTGCTGGATTTGATTAGGAGTTGATCCAGGGGTTATTTTTTTTGTATCTTTCTTTAAAATGGGGCTCCAGATAAGCTGTATGGCTTCTGAATGATTGTTTTCCGTAAGAAAGGAAGTACAATGGTTCTGATATCACCAGTCATGAAAAATATCTGTGTGTCTGTCTGTCTGTCTTCATCCATCCCTATATGGCAGCCAATTACAATGCGTTAAAAAAAAAATTTAGGTGCACACAACTAGGCCGAATTTGTACTCATAAGAACTGTTTCTAATTTTGGACTTTGGATATTTTAATTAATAATATTCTAATATTCTAATTCATAATATTCATAATATTCATAATATTCATAATATTCTAATGTATTTAGAAAAAGGAGGAACGAGGCATTGGAGAGGGGAGGTGTGCTTACATTGTCAAGGAATGCTTACATTCAGGCAGTATGAGTTCCATTCTGTGATGTGTTGGGGACTGTTCTGCCACAATCAGAGACTCTTCTCTTGCTTTTTACACTGATTTTGGTTGTGAAAGACCATATCACTTGAAACCACCTTGGAAGGATCTTCCAACACAGCTGCAATTCTCTGAAGCTGCTCATTCAAACTGCTGGGATTGCTGTGGCATCAAGGCTGGGGTGGGGGCTAGGTTTAGGAAGAGGGTTAGGATTAGTGAGTATATAGCCTTGATGCCTAGGTGTCTTAAGAGTTTATAGTTTTGTCATCTGATCTGTAGTATTTGCACACTTCTGCTGAATGAAAATCTGTCAATCATAGTGCTTTTCTGAGTAGTTAACATCATATGTATAGGGAATAATAAAACTGCTTTATTTAGGATTCTCTTAGCTGTCCCTGTTATCTCATCCAACAGAACAACCTGCTAGTGATAGACTGGTAGCAATATTGTTCAAGGAAATTAACACATAAAAAGGTTCATTTGTTTTGTTTTGTTCTTTAAATGATGCACTCCAGTAAATTAGAGAAAAATTATTTCACAAATCTAAGAGAGGCTCCCTTATTCTGTATTGTCCTCTGTTTTATCCATATTTGATTGAGATTCTTCATGTAATCTGCAAAATTCTTTCTGCCATTGTTTTAAATATAATACAGTAAGATTTGGTGCAGTGATTCAGTTTGTGCTTATAGAAACTTGAGGCAGATGAGTTACACTGATTTACATATTTGCAAATATATGCAAATACACAGTATTGCCATATGGTCTTAGGTCCCCAGAAGTGCTGGTGACCTACTTGAGTATTTCAGTTAACAGAATTTGAGCTTTTGCTTCTTCATGTTTTATACATTTCAAAAGACAGTATTATTTTTATTTTCTATGTTACATTTCTGGAAAGGATCCTACAGTGTTTAAATTACAGTATAGCATCTGCAAGATCAAAATCTTTCTCGTTTTCTGTTGCTGGATCGGTGTTTTCTGCAGCAGAAGGCAAGAGATCCTCATCTGCGAGTTCTCTTGGAAAGCTAGGAGGGGCTGGAAAGCCCACAAGTTGTTTCCATGGTTCTCCAGGACATCTGGGGCCAGGCGATTCTGGGCGAACTGGAAACCCATTGAATAAAGAAGTWTCAGGAAGAATTAGTGGCTCTACAGGTCTGCTGGTTTCCTTCCTTGCACCCCCTGCACTAACCAGTTCCAGTGCTCTTTCAGCACTGGCTGATGGGAGGGTTTCATTTTGATTAAAACCCTTTTTATTTGACTCCTCAGAAGATTTGGGGTTTGGATGTTTATGTTTACTCTTTTTACTGTGTTTTTTATGCCCACACCCATGGCTGCTTCCGCGCCCACAACCAATTTCATGCCTGTGCCTTTTATCAGACTTGTGATCCTTTCTCACTCCATGCCTATGCTTATGCCTGTGTTTGTGCTCAGGTTCACCTTCATCTGGTTCCTGTTCATCATCTTTCCTCATTTCTGTGCTGGGGCCTTGACTTCCTTCTTCATTTTTATTGGTATTTGAAACTGCATTTGGCTGGCCTAGCATCATAGTGCTGCGGAAAGGTGTGAATCCAGGAGGCCTTCTTGCATAGAACACCTAAAAAACATTGCAATAATAGCCACATTTGTTCATTTGTTACATGAAAAAGAACAATTGCTTCAGATTTGGGAAATTCAGAAGCTGGCTCATTGCCGTACATGAATCATTTAGCGATTTTTAAATGAAAATCTAAACTAAACAATTCTTTCTTCTGTGATAAACATACAAACATAAACATCCTCCCAAAAAAACTCTGGAGTATTTTAGCAGCTATATGTGTAAAAGAAAAATTTCTGTATCACTGAAATTTTGCCAGTGTAAGAGAGGAATAATACTACAGAGAGAAAAACACAYGTACTGATTTTTAATTATGAACAATGCAGTTAGTTGCTAAAACTAGATATCCCAGCACTTGTTAGAGGTAACACTCCCATGTACAGAACCAATTTATGCTGAAGTTTAACACACCTCTGAGTAGCATCAATGGCAGAATATACACAAGATCTGTGTACTTTTGTTATATCAAATGTAACTATTCAATTTTTTACTTCTAGATTTGAYATATGCATTTCAGAATACTACTTAGAAATAACACACAGAGGTTAAAGCTGATAATATCAAACATTCTGTTGTTATTGTGTCATCTCTACTCCCTCATCAGTGTTCAATTGGAAGACAAAAGCTGAATATGTGGTGTACAGCCACTGTCCAACACGGGTTTAATTTCTCTTCACCGAAGCCTCTGATCATTATTTAGCTGCATATCAGAGTTATTTGGATTAAATAACTAATTTTAAATAACTAAATTTGAAAGTTGATATGGATAAAATGTTGTAGTGAAAATAGAGAGGAGAGGAATTTGAATATGTAGTTATGGAGGTGCTGAGCACACTGAAGTTATTAGTTATGAGGACAGTTAATCTGTTTTTATTAAGTGTCAGACAGGAGTCTCTGCATTTATTAAAAATCTTGCAATCCTCAAAAATATCTGATAATAAAAATATTTATATTCCATTGTGAGATTTTCAAACTCATTCAGGAATWGTTCATTGTGGAGCTGAGTAGGGAGAAATTGAAAGATCCTTCTGCAGAGACTGACAGCTGTGGCAGGTGCCACTTGACTAATATGGAAAGGTTCGCAGATGCTTTGAAAATCTATATAGTATAATTATTGTGTTGGCAAATACAGTTTTATTTCAACTTTTAAACCTAGTGTGAGTAGTAATTTAAGAGARCTGATGGGGCTTCATACTTTGAGATTAACTGACAATGCAGAGGAGCAGCCAACAGGCAGAAATTCTCCCTGTCCTGGTGCCTTGTTTGTGTGGTCACCTTGTCCATGTCTCACCTTGTGGTGCAACTGCTTTGATGTAACCGGTTGTTGAGTTTAGAAGGTGAGAGAGGAGAGTGTGACATTACTGAGGCTTTTAAAAGAACTATGTGGTCCTCTATTTTATTACAAAATATGGGATAATGTGGAATGGATAAAGAATTTAATTACTGCCTTTGTCCTACACTCTACTTAAGAGGATGRGTAATGAAGAGGAATCTTACATTTGTAAATTCTTCAGTGCAGTTCACATGGGGATAGATTTTATTCTGCCATGGGATCACAAGAATTTGTGCTTCGCATGTCAGTGATGCCTGTTGACAAAACAAAAACCAACACATTAAGGCGACAAAACTTCAGACACAMAGGAAGAGCCTTGGGCCTGAAAAATACGCTTTTAAAAATAATACTTTGAAATACTTGGAAYTGTAATCAAATATTTATGAAATCTATCTCAATGATGAGTACCTCTATTTTGGGACACATCATGGCTTAGCTTTTCAAGGTTATGGTATGCCTGTGTGAATACTTCAATTCAACTTTGGATACCAGATTGGATCTTGAAAATTGGATTTTTCATCTCCAGTATTTCTGGGGCAGTAACTGCTTAATCTTCATGATATTTCTAAGAAGTATTTTTTGTTGATGTTATTTCTCCTACTAAATATTGGGAAATTGAAATAGGTTTTTTTTTTCTTTTTAGTGCCTGCTGAACTAACAAATTTTAAGATCTCACTGGTAAGCACCATTCATACACTGGAAAAAGAGATGGGAGCTAAAAACSCTCTCCTCAAACATCTCCATTGCCAGTGGTTTCTGTCTCTATCAAGCATTCCTTTCCACTGTCCGGAACACATTTTCCGGCTATCAACAGYATGGCATGCACTCCAGAAACACAAGTAACACTCCAATCTCATGTTTTCCTTAGCTGCAAGTCCAGAGAGTCAGGACTACTGCAGCTATTTCATTTGGCAGCAGCCTCCTCCTCTCCTTTCCTTAATTGAATATTATCAAAAGAAAGTTCCTTTGGCTTTGCAGTGAGCACTGATCCTGCAGCTAGAGTGACTCAGTTTAAGTTTCAGGGTTTCTTAACTTGGGTTGCAAAAAGTGAAAGGTCCCCTTCTTCTTGAAACAAAAGTTTACTGAAAGAGGTAACAGAACCCAGAGTGTGGTTTTACTTAAGGCAAATGAATTTGTCCGTTAGAATCATTACTGTTGGCAACATTATCGTTACTTACACTGTCTGATGTGGCTGTACAGTCCTCATTAAGTTTTTCAAACTCACTCTTTGAGCAGTTTGTCTTCCAGACTGTAAATTTTACTCGATACTTTTTTCCTGCAACCACCTGAAAAATTAGCAAGAAGGCTTTCTGTGCTAAAGGCATTATATTGAAAAGGGTTCACAGGAAAGATGATTTTCTACAAGCTTATACTACTTACATTCTACAAGTACTAACCACAGGGCCAATATATGATAAGAACAATATTAAAATATTTGGCAGTAAACTTATCTCTTTCTAATCAAGTACTTATTTACTCCAGTTCMTATTCTCAAAAATACTAGCATTGAAGCTGAAGGATACAGAAAAGGTCAGAATAATACTGGGCCCACAGTTATTAAATGTCTGTAGTAATTTCATTAGTAACAGATGAAATCATTAGTGATAGCTCTGTAGAGCGCCAAATATGATGTCAGAAAAGTGGAATGTGAGTAAAACAAAGTGTGTGATGAACGGGCTGAGTTGAAAATGAATCTATTTGCCAAACATATTAAAGAGAGAAACTGCATGGGTTCAAGAATGTGTTTGCTACAAGTTCTTTTAGTATTTTTCAAAGAGCTTGAAATAATATATCTTCCTCCAGGGACATCAGGCTAGACAAGAAATTCTGTTTCCCTGAAGTCTCCCCAATTTTGAAGGTGTATGCATGTTAATATCAGACATTATAGGGAAAGTCAGAAAGAAGAACAAAGTTTGAAAGAAGAAAACGCATAGATGTTATCAGTAAGATAAACTATTAGGAAAAATTCTGATGTGCTTTTAGTACCTTCTCCAATGACATCTCATGCTCAGGAATATTTATGTTCAAGTATTTTCTGAACTACTCCACTGTCAAATTTTCRGTTCTATCCTAAAATTCTGTTTTGATGTCTTGGGACAGTAAAAAATCTGGTCCAAATGCTGACCAATATATTATACTCCAGATTGCTTGTCCTTTATCAAGCTCTATTTATCTGTATATCTTAAGTTATGCACAGATGTCCTTATTTGAATCTAGCTGGAATATTATTAGCAGCACAATCAGTATACAAAATAACGGATTTCTAAGGGAAACTAAGAAGCCTCTTTTCTACCCTACACAGCTACTGTAGGGTAGACATTGCCTAAAATAACATGGAGAGTATTGGTGTGGTGGATCAAGGGAGCAGTCCTGTCTAAGGAATCTTTTATCCTATGAAAGTCTAAGGTATGTTACAAGGTAAAATGTAGGGTAGATACACAGAAATAGAATACCCTGAGCCAACCTTCTTCACATGCCTTTCAAATAATTTTGTTTTSAGAGAAAAGTAAAAAGTTCTGAAGATGGGAAATTTTTGAATGCAAGCAAATATGGATTACATTTTACAGGAAAAATTGCATGGATATCTCAGTTACTACATGTATCAACACTTAGACAAACAGATTCTTTCAAATCTGAATACAAACTCTAGCTAACATTCAGCTCAGGCCAATAAYAATGTCATGTCTGTTCCTCATCTCTGTGATATATTCCAACCTGAACTGTYGCTGATTGTATTTCTCCACCTTTATAGTAGAATTCATCATTGCTCTCCGAATTATACTTCTCCATAGAAACCTTCAGTAGTTCCTTTAGTTCTGGACTGTCATTTGGGATAGTCTTTGGACAGCCTGGACAAATGGCAGCAACTACTGTTTCTGCAACTGAAAGAGAYCAACAGGTTTCAGATCTAAGAAACAAAAGATTCAATGGTGATAAAGGCTGGAAAAAACAGTTATAAAGTCCTGCTTTCTTGAACTCTTCATATTTAGGTCTACGAACTCATACCAAAATATATTTGCATTTTATAAGATCAGCAATATCATATCTTGGTTGTGTAAAAGAACATGGGACACTTAACAACAGTTTTCTCATAGAAASAAGAATTGTGTGTGCCTGTTTTGGGTAACCAGAAAATATGGAGAGGGAACAGCTACATGTATGGAAAGACCTGATTTGAGTGAAACAAGATGTGCATGTAATTGGCAATGAATTTGTGAGTTGAAGAAAACCAACTCTGAATGGGTGAGAATGCAGCACTTACTACATGGAGCAGTACTGTGCTCTGTTCTAATGCTCAGAAGCAGTTGATAATCTATGTCCAGATAGGCTGGAGGAAAAAGTAACAGTACATAACAATAAAAGACATTGAAAACAGTGGAACTTTCAAAACTGGTAGTGCCTAGAACATACCTGGAAGCTTGCAATCATTGACAATATCCACGATCTTTGCRTAAAGATTCTGAAATGCTTTGGTCTCACATTTAGCTACACGCTGAAGTAAAAAATGCAAAACAGCTTCTTGTTATTTTGAAATAATGAACAAGCTCACCTAATACCTTCCTGCTAACAGAATAAACAAAGCATCCTCCCTCCCTCCCTTTTCASAAAAGTTTTGGTGATATCCTTTATTAAAGACTAAAGAAACCCAATTAACTTATAATAAGAAAGAAGACTTAAAATTCAGGATCAAGATCTTAGGGCTATGACRCATTTAAAAATGTAATTATAAACAATCTAGTAGTATTTTAGAAAAAATAAKGAAAAATAATGTCAAGGCCTATTATCCAGGTTAAAGGGACTGACATGATATTCCAGTATAGCTTGGTGGTTCATATGGGTGTTGAACCAGGGTGCAATTCTGGTCCTCCCATTTMAAAATTAATAGTACAGAGCTGAATAAAGGTATGAGAAAACTTTCTTGGAATTTGGAATTTCATTCCAAAGTATGGAATATGCTTGGAATATGGTATTCTAAAAATAYCTGTCAATGAACTATTAGCAAGTTCAGGGGATAAGTGCTGATGATCTAATTCCAGAAGCCCTGGAATGACCCTGTCTGACCAAAGCAGTATGGGAGTGAGGCAGTACTCCTGCAGTAGGTGAGGTGACAGAAGTCRTCACCTCTAGGTGACAGCTGGGGAAACTGAGACTCAAGCAGATTAAGTAACTTGTTTAAGGTTTAAGGGCACATGGGTAATGGAGGGATTTGCWTCAACTAGACCAACTCTCCTGCTTCTGTTATTTAGCAGTGTTGTCGTTCTTTCCTTTTTTGATCAATACTTTTGAAACATTCTTGACATGTACAAGGAGTAATTTTTGAACAGGAAAGGGTCCTGAACATAACACTCAATGGTGCATTTCAACAACAGCTGAAACAGATGCTTGTCTATCCCCTCCCATTTACCACCACTGTTCACAATGACTCTGCATTCCTGCCCTCTGCCTTGTGTTTGCAAAATCGTTTTTCTCATCCCCTCGTGAGCTGGTCCAGGGCAGTCGAGAGAGGAAGCCTCTATTTTTGGTGCAGCTGCTTCAGTTTTAGGTCACAGAAGCTGAGGGAGTACTTGATTTTKCAGCACAGTTTAGATGGATTATGTATATTTGTTAATAAATTTCTTTTGAAGCTCTCTTATTTGGACCGTGGTAGAGGTTAAGTAACAATTCAGCTACTTACTTTTCTTAGAAAATATGTCTTGGGCTGTAAAAACTGTACTAATTTTAATCATCACTTTTTGGGCTGTCCAGAGTAACTTCTTGAATATCTGGATAGAAACTTCTCAAGGGATTTATTATTTGAGTGAGACCATTTAGATTCTGTGGAGTAATCTGTAAACCTTTCAGTGGTACTCTTTAGTCACTGATTCAAGAGAAAACACAGATGTCCTAATTGTATAAATAGTTATGTATAAGACTGGATTTAAACTTTGTTCATGAAGTGAAGCAAGACTCTATTTTCTTGAGTCAGATCTCAATGATTATTTGCTAATGTGATATTTTCTTGATAAACAGATTTTAAGTAAGATTACTTACACCTCTAGAAGTGATTTTGCATTCTGGAGTTAAATCTGGAAACTGGCCTTTGGAGCAATTAGTCTCCTCAAGTTCATATTTAATGTTGTAATTCCATCCAGCTACCACCTGGAAGAGATATTTAGGTTATGCCTTACCTAAAACAATAGAAACTTGAAATTTAAACTATCAAAATGGGGTTAGCAAAGAAAGCAAAACTAATCATCTAATGCCTAACATTTGTCAAATCACTTTACAGTCATTAAGTCATAAAGTATTCATGGACAGCAAAAAAAATCCTTGTCCTTGCAATCCAAAATGTAGACTAAATCCACCTTTTGTTAGAAGTGCACTTCGTATTTGGTGTCCACTTCTCCTGGCAAGCCTGCAGCCTCATGCTGCTGCATTTCTKGTGCTTTCCTCCAAAAATCTTTGCTTATTACTCCCCATGACAGGAAGCTGGTCTAGATAGATGACTAYACTAATACAGCCTGGCAAGTCCTGCATGCCTGATCATGGGACACTGTAAAACAGTATCTGAATAATGTAACTCTATACTGCTGGCATCATTTTTTTTGTTGAATGTCCTGCATATATTACCTATCCATAATTATGTCTATCCTGGGCTCTACCTTCCCAAACATACTGTTTTGTCCAGGTTCATAACCCTTTTTATAAATTTTCTCTCCAGGAAGCTGTTCCATTTTCCTACTGCTTCTCACCCATGAAATCTCGCCAAATCATAGCGATGGGCCAGGGAACATTGGATTAAAAAGGAGAAATCATAAAATATGGGAACTTTCTATCCCAGATCAATTGAAGTGAGGGCTCTGACTTTTCCCTGTTTGCTGGAGGTGACATGATGGTTCTCTTTCCAGCTGCTTCATTGCAGTCTGTCTGTAACAAGTTTTGTCATGTGGCTTAAATGTCGTGCAAGTTTGTCTTTCAGCAAAGAGTATTGTTGCCATCAGTAAATAAAAAGAGGACAGTCTGATTTAAATCATGGGTCAAACTGACCAGAAGTTGCTTTTTGGCTAAGTAAATACATACAGGTTCAAAGAAAAGGGTCTGTATTTGGTGCTGGATTGTATACTAGTTAAAAACCAAATAAGAAACTTTACTTTCCAGCAATGTTACACCAATCCATAGGAGAGTCTTTCACAGGGAAAGAATTCTTGCATGGAATACCAGATGACATAAAATTTCTGCAACCTGAGTAGTCATTTCTTGCAAAGCACATATTCCCGTGAGCAGAAATCTTGCAGCAAGTGGTAYGTTGATTTTTTGTTTTTGCTACCCATTTTTCCTATGTGGGGATTACCTGTCCTATAGCACATAGCAGCTGCTAACAAATGGACCCTATTGACTTGCAAAAACAGAGATGTCTGAYGCTGTTTGAGAGGCTGGGGAGTATGTGAGACATCTGTGCAGGCTGGCAGCTTTGGCACAGCCCCTAGGAGAGATCTGCTCCTGTTGGAGCCTCAGAGCAAGGCCAAATGAAGTACCCAGGAGCATCTGAGAAGACACAAGGATGCATGTGCCAGCACTGCATGCAAATAAACTGRTATAAACACTGGTTAGTTGCAACTGCAGAAGAAGAAAAATGTGTATGCTATGAGTTGAGAGCTCTGAAAATCCGCCAGGCAATTGTTCATGATTCCTTATAAATGAAGATCATTATATATAGAGTCTACCTTCKATATGCATTTTGTATGCTTTATTATGAAATATAAGCCACCTTAATATCAGAAACATACACAAAACAAACATGGTACCTGCTTTGGGTTGGGTTATTTTGGTAAAGTTTAGAGAAAAATCATACACAAACCTGTCTCTTGGCATCTTTTACTTCCACAAGCTTAAAAAGGGCAGATTCTTCACTGTGCTTGTTAAAGTTTTGAATGGCTCTTTTYAGAATTTCTGACACTTCTGAATCATCACTTGGTATAGGGTGCATGCATCCAAGACATGGAGCCTTTGTAAGTCTGATCTTTGGCACATCTGGAAAAGAAACCAAAAAACATAGGGCTTTATGCAGAACAGCCTTAGGTTTTCATTTTTCCTTTCTGGGAGRGAGCAAGAAACTTCTCTGCTTTAAAATGGCATGATGTGCAAACCCTGTATTCCAGTTTCAAGGTGTCCAAAGATGTTTTTGTACTTAGAAACACATTCTGGTTGTGGTKGCAGGGGCTGTCCATGACCTTAGGGTTCAGGGGTGGTTTTGGCAGTGAGCCCCATTCCAGCAATTACTGAATCTCTTCGACACCATTAAGGGAGGCACAGTACTCATTCAGCCAGGGAAGAGCCAGTGGAGACTACAGCTAAGGAGATGGTTTTCAGATTCTTCAAAGCTCACCCACAGTGTGCAGCTGCTTGCTGTCCTCACCACCTTTCAGGATGGGGACTTCAGCAGGAGTGTTTTGGCTCATCCATGTGAGCTGCTGTGGCTCCAAGCGCCCCAGAGACTGAAGTTGGATGATTGTACTGTCCCTGCTAGTCACTGTGGCTGCCAGTTACCACTTGGTGTTACCTTCAGGCTTAACCAGCTGGATTGGCTGTGGATAGACAAGCCTGACAGGGATGCTCAAACTCCTGTTTCCTGATACTAATCCTATTAATTCTCTTTCCTTTCTAGTAATCATGGATTGGATTTTCATAAATTAATTTTATAGTTCAGTACATAAATTAATTTCACGAGTCAGTGAGCTTGAGAATRGAAGTGGGACAATATGTGGTCTCCGTGGAATTGAAGTAAAATTTGTGTGCCTGATCTTCAGCTGGCATAAACTGGCTTAAATGGAGTTACGCCAGCTTGCAGCAGCCAGGAAACCAGTCCAGGGTCAGWTAGATCAAACTGTTCCACCAAAGATTGTGGTACCAATATAGTGGGGAAATCCCTCACCTGTCAGGTATGAACAAAGTCTGGCCCTTTGTTCTAGTATCACTTACTTATTTTGACTCAGCAATGGCAAACAGATACCTTGCAGAAAAGTGTGATCATGTTTTCAGTAAGTAGTCACAAAGGAGATAATGAACCAATAGCACACCCACTTCTAGACCAGCTGTGGTCTCAGCACTTTCATAAGGATGACGTTAAACAAATGTGTATTCTTTTTTTCAGAATTGTTATAACTTGGTAAGAAGAGATGAGTTCCTTCGGTGAAATACCTGATTAATTGAATTTATGTATGGGTTTTTTTTTTTTTTCTTTCTAAGCAAAGATTCAAATGTGAATTTCCCAAGCGTTCTCTGTGGGATACACACAACTTTTGCTGGCAACTAGGTGTCACCATTGCCCTTCAAATGCAGCATTTGTTCAGTAAAAGAACATGGAGTTTGCTCACTGCAGTTCCTAGGACACTGGCTGTAGGTAAAGCCATTTCAGCTTTAAACAAGATAGCCAGAACAAAAAACAGATATAAGCAACCACACWTCTCAGAAATCGGGGTTAATACTTCTGTWGTTAATAGTTAGATGGATATTTTAAAGCAAGCTTGGGTATGTCTTTCAGAACACCAGGCATAGAGACCTCTAGTTGTAAAGCTTTAAAATAATGTGGTCTCTTTTTAATTAAGGAAATTACTCTGTGAATAAAATAGTCATATATTAATGTATTATAGGTGCAAAATGTAGTACTGCTTATTGTTAAGGTCTAAAAGATCAGTCTCTTGCATAATTATATTGCTGCCAGATTTTTATTTTGTAAATGATTTTTTTTTTCTTTTCTWGTTTGGGGTAAATAGTTGCTTTGGTAAAGTTTAACAGAAAAAAAAGTCATTTTTAGTTTGGAGAAAATTAAGGTGCAATTTTGTCCTACAAAATATTTTCTAATAATTCCTGGGACCATTTTATACTTAACTAAGTCAGGACAGAAAGTTGAAGTGTGACAAGTTGCATCTAGTCTCTTAAATTACTGCTATGCTTTTGGTCTTAAGCAAATTAATTCTAACGAATTCCTAACTAACTCAAAGAAACTTACTACACACACATGTACTGGTGAATATTACACTGGACAGAAACTGCTTGTGCTTCACTGAGTTAGTCTGTATATGTATAACAGTGAAGTGAAATTTTATCTTTAATATCTAGTTGCTTACAAAAAATTTGTAACAAATGTCTGACTAGAATGATAAGGAGCTTCTACCTTTAAGAAGAAAATTACCTGAAAGTCTCTGTATTGTGTTTATTCCATTCTTATTTGTCAAAGGATTTGTTGAATGATGTCTCAAATAGTTACATACCTGAGAAGATTCTGCACTTTTGTGAAACATTAGTTGTTTTATCTGCATCATTCATATGAACTCGAGCTGTGCATTCTCCYGTTTTCTGCAAAAACATATGGCAACAATTGTCTTAAACTTGCTGAGGAAAAATACAGTGTTTTAGCAGTTGAACACAGCTGACAGTTGCAAACTGAGTTTGTGGAAGAGATTCGTGTGTATATATGTAGTAATGTCTAACTTGCTGTTTTGTTACTGCAGAAGGATCATTTTTATTGATTGTGATGAAAGTAGGGRATGAACTCAGTAGATAACTTGTAAGATTGCTTTGTTTTTGTATGATGTATATTGATTMACTAAAGAATTTACAGTCAGAATAATGGAAATGAGCACATCACCATGAAAAAAGACTGCATAMACTATGTATTTCTCCATTTTCCTCTCTGCTAGTACAAGATATGCAGCAATGACCATGGCATTTCACATAGATTAAAGTTATATTGTCACCATCATCCCTTCCTGTGCACTGTGTGAAAGAGCAGTGTCTTCCCCTGGGCGTGTGCAGTGTCCCTGCACTGTGTGCCCCCATTGTGCCTCCCCTGGCTGCTTTCTGGTAGCCTGGGCCAGGCATGCTTGACACTGCTGAAAGCCCTCTGCCAAACTTTCTGCCATGGTGGCTTCCATGTCCGTAATTGGTTGTGCAAGTTTCCATTATACATGATTAATACAAATTTTATAATCCTTGCACTCTCACTGTGCACATCTTATGTTGGTTTATTGTGAACCTTCATATGAAGCAYTGAAATGTTCCTTTCAGCATATATTCAAGATAGTAATGGAAAACTCAGGATTCGTATGGTTAACTTTACAGTTGTAAACATTTCTATATTGTACTGTTGTCATAATAACCTCTCAAAAGCAACGCAGCTAAAAAAGTTAATTCTTCTTCTCTATTTTTCCCCAGACAATTGCAGTCCTGCTTGATGTTTCTGCACAGAGAACTTGGAAAGAGGACAGATACTTACAGCTTCTGCAGATGCTTTGTAATCACACTGTTGCCATTGTTTGTTTTCGTCAGTGGCACAAGTGCTTTCAAGTATTCTGTATTTTACATAGAACTCTGGGTCAGGACCTGCCTGAATTAGAACAGTATACACATCATCATTTGAGTAGTAAGAAATCAAGTGAAAAGGTAAGAGTTTCAAAAAARTAAATACTATTCACTTGTTACCCTAAATTTTATAGTATGGTTTCACATTAGCTGCTGGTCTCTCAGATCTTGGTAATTCTAATATTAACTTACCTAATTGCATTACTTAGCTCTTACCTACAATGACAATATGTTGATATAACAGATACAGTATGCTCAACTAACTTCATGTTAACTTGTAGTATCAAGGGGTTTAGAACTAAAAAGAAGTGGTTAGGTTTCATACTCTCATTCAAATGTTCTCCAAAAAAGCCATTTTGGGTGGCTGCTTGGATCATTAGCGTATTTACCAGCTTGGACTGTGCTCCTGTCTGACTCCCTCACTCTCACTCTTGGCCTTCTCCCAGATCTGTCCACTTTCCTTCTGTACAGCTCTCCAGCAGTCAGCAGCCCTCTGGGCAGACTGGCAGTGCCCAAACAGCCTCTGCTCGGTCGTACCAGAGAACTTCAGCTGCCCAACCTGTGTGGGAAGGGGCGAGCAGGGGTGTGCTCTGGAGACAGTCTTGGGCAGTGCCTGTGGTTTTCTACAGGCATCGAAGGCTGGGTTGCAGGGCAAGGCAGCCTCAGGAATCCCGTAAGATAAAATGAAAAGTATTAAGCAAAGTTAGGCCTGGCCAGTGGAAGTATTTCAGAGGTTGGTAAATCAGTCATGGGCATCTGCTCCTTGCCATAAACCAAATAGTAGGTCTGTGCCTAAAGGTGTCAGTGACAACACTGTAAGGCTTGTGGTTCATTCTTTAGAGAAGATATAAAGTCAGAAGTTACTAACCTTTTACTGCTCCTAAAAATGCTCTGCCAACGTGACTTTTCAAATGCAAAGAGGCTGTAGTTTAGCACTGGCTATTCTGAAATAACYAGTTATTATTCCCTGTCTCTACTGGGAGAATTAAATTATAATTCCTGCCTTAGTCCTAGCAAAAAAATGAAGCTGAGCTGATGTGGTTGTCATATACTGGATTTACACTGATGTAGACACAGATTTATATTCTGCCTTCTCTCAATTCCTGTTGTGTATTGCTACACGTACGAAGAAGTGTAGACATACCTGATGTAATGGTTGTAAAAAAAGATAAAAAGGGCTCTAAAAATATAATAGACTTAATGCTCAGCAGGTAGAAATAGACCTATATGGAACTCCATCAGATTATACTATCTGGGACTTAAAAAGAGCCAAATTCTGTTCTCTGTTACAGTGTTCTAAATCTGCAATAAATCAGCTCAGTGAGTAAACAAAGTAAGAAAGGACATTATTTCTGTATTATTTGCTATTAGTTTATTTCATTATTGTTCTGAACAGCTATGCCTTTAACTGGGGCAGGTTTAGTCTTTCACTAGTCAGCTTTTATGTTTTATTACCCTATCAATAATGAATGTACATGAATATGTAATAACCAGCTATTTAATTAATGCATTCAACATTGTGAGACTAGTGAGGAGTAAAATCTATATTCCTTTCAGAAAAAGAATCTCAAATATGAGAAAATTTCAATTGCAGATTCCTTTTCTCTGTTTTTTAGTTAACATCATAATCACATCAATTATTCAAAGTAATAATTGATTTCCATTTCATATCTTTTAAGAAAAGGAAAGATGGATATCTAGAGAAGGAAAGATGAATAATAATTGCAATAAATATGTATTCTTAAAAATAGAATATTGTTTAAGATAAAATTCTGAAACTCTTATCTGTCCTTTGGGAACATCAGCAAATGGAAGGTGGTATTACAGCTCTGATACAGAGATGTTTGCATTTGGCTGTTAAGGATGTATGCAGCTCAATGAGAACAGTGAGAGTAATAATTTATTTAATATTAATTGTATAATGGGTTTTCTGATTTTAGTCTTTCTCTCCACATGCTAAAATGTCCCCAGCGTGCAAACAGGAACATGAGAGGGCATGTGCCAGGAAATGTGGGAAGTTTGCTGTAAGTGTTTAGCAATTCATGGCTCCTTTCCAAGGTCAATTTCTATCTGAGTAAAAGTGTCTTGTGATTTTGGAGTGCAAAATATTCTCTCTGACACTGGATTTCTTGTGGTTTACATCTGAAAATCCAATCCAGTAGAAAAAAAATGCTAATGTTATTTTCAAGTAAAGTAATGCTTGTCATTATTATGGTAATACCATCTTTGTATGCCTCTCAGAGGTAAATACTCTTTTGTTAGATTAAGGCTATACAGAAGGACTCCAGGCAAAAGATCATGTTGCATTCTTTTTTTTCTTCTGCAATTTTAACTGTCACCCTATTTGGCTAAAATACCACCTAGTGCTTTAGATAGATCTGTGACTTAGGAGTGGTGTCAGTCAAATAATATTCACAAACAGTTCAGAGTACTGCCAAACTTTATCAGGTGTTTCTTTTTTGTGTGCCACCAGCTCTTCCCAAGACAAGACTATATTCATGTTTTTTAATCCGTGTGGTTTTGCCATTGGTCTGAAAACTTTACAGATGATAGAAAGGGGTAAAATTCCCAACAAAGAAAGAAGAGAACAGAGTAGTCTAGTAAGACAAATTGTTTTGGTGATTGAAATTTTCTATTCTTTAGTCCTTGCATTTGTAAGCAATTCACCRGAACAGAGATAAAAACATAATATACATCCCTGCTTGTTATGGGAACGAGTATCTCACTGTGCAAGTCACTTTGATTTTTTWAAAACATTTTTGGAACACACTGTGCTGTCATGCTTCCCCCCTTACAAACGAGATGGAGATAAGCTGATTCAGAGTGCATAAACAATTCCAACTTTTTTTTTTTTTTTTTTGCAAAGTCTACTTACAGTTTTCTTGGCTTCCATCACCTTGTATAGAGCAAATTGGTTACCAGTTGCACTTTCTCCATTGTATTTCTTCAGTGCTGCGTCAACAGCTTTAAAGACATCAGGGTCATCACAGTCTGAAAACTCTGATGGAAGAGGGGTGGCTCTGCTAGAGAAAAAACTGCAGCAGAGTGCTAGGACAATGAAGGTCTTCATAATTGGATAAAAAAAAGGCCCTCTGAATTAGAAGGCTCTTTAAAAACCAAATGGAAAAGAATGGCTGGAAGGATTTTAGTCACCTCTTCTATTTTTCAGAGCAGTAGCTAAGTAAATAGAATGAGTGAGTTGCTGGGGTTGGTTGGTTTTCATCATACCCTGTTTATASTGCAAATAAACTTCTGAGTTTATCTAAATAAACTTTGTGTGTTCACCAGAATGACTCTAAGGTTATCCACCTGGCATCAAGATAACAGGATAAATGGCTGCAGCTGGGGACCAGGTTAGGCAAAACAAAGCAAAAGAGAAAGAAGTGTCTGCAGCTTTCTGACTTATTGATACCTAAACTGCTACTGAGAATGAATTTTTCAAGGCTTAAATAAAACACCCAAGAAGGTCATAGTGGCAATGAAGTTTTGGACAACAACCCTGTAAATKTTATAGATCTGTTCACTGTTCAGGCTGCAATAGTTCTGACAACTATRGTACTGAGAACGTGTTTGAAAAAAAGTCTTTGGACAGATGCATATGGTTGAATGTCACGTAACCCTTCAACAGCACTTGTTAAACCTTATCCTTCATGGTCGTATTGGAAAGGCCATCTCTGCTGCCATGTGGAAACTGCCTGGACTATGGACTAGTCAGTCTCCACAGTGCTTTGTTGTCATTACAGATATGTGATGCCCAAGAACAAAGAATTAAATACCGTTGCCTGAGTCTGGCAAAGCTAGGATTAGAGCTGGCTGAGGACATCTGGTCCTTGTATTGGCACCAAATAGCTTTTGCTTTGGGTCTGTGAACACCTTGGCTCCTGTGTTCCAGCTGTGTCTTGCTGTATTGGGTTTGTGTGGCAGTGTCTTGATAGCAGGGGACTACAGGGGTGGCTTCTGGGAGAAGCTGCTGGAAGCTTCTCCTGTGTGKGACAGAGCCAATTCCAGTCAGCTCCAGGATGGAACCAGTTCTGGCCAAAACTGAACCCATCAGTGCTTGTGGTAGTGCCCCTGGATAATGTAGTGAAGAAGGGGAAAAAAAAGAACTGAGAAAGAACAGGAGAGAGGAGTGAGAATATGTGAGAAAAACAACTATGCTGACCCTATGGTCTATGAAGAAGGTGTGGGAGGAGGTGCTGGGGGTGTAGAGCAGAGACTTTTATGCAGCCTGTGGAGCAAATTGTGGTGAGGGAGCTGTGGCCCTACAGCCCCTGTAGGTTAGTGGTGGAGTAGGGACCCACCCTCAGCTCATGGGGGACCCCATGCCAGAGCAGGTGGATGTCCTGTGGAGGCTGTGACCCTGTGGGAAGCCCATGCTGGAGCAGTTTACTGGCAGGGCTTGTGGCCCTGCAGGGTGCCCGTGATGGAGCAGTTTGTTCCTAAAGTACTGCGCATCATGGAAAGGACCTACACTGGAGCAGTTCATGAAGGACTGCCTCCAATGGGAGGRATCCCAGGCTGGAGCAAATAAAGAGTGTAAGGAGTCTCCAGAGGAAAAAGGAGGGGCAGAAGCAACATGTGTTGAGCTGACTGCAACTCTCATTCCCATCCCTCGGCACAAACTGGGGGGGAAGGCAGAGAAAATCAGGAGCAAATTTAAGCCTGGGAAGCAGGGAGGAAGGGGAGAAGGTGTTTTAAMGATTTGACTTTATTTCTCCTTCTCTTACTCTGATTTGATTGGTAATAAATTAAACCAATTTCCCCAAGTCCAGTCAGTTTCACCTGTGACAATATTTGGTGAGTGATCTCTCTCTGTCCTTACCTCAACCCATGAACCTTCTGTTATATTTTCTCCTCCCTGTCTGGCTAAAGAGGGCAGTGACAGAGAAGCTTTAGTGGGCACCTGGCACCCAGCCACGCTCAACTAATCGCACTTTCGACAAGTTTTGGTTAAAGAAAAGACACTTTGGAGAAAGTGGATAAAACTCCAGAAAAGTTTGTTCATACATGATAACTGACTTTTAAAAATTAGTCAACCATCATTTGGTCATATCATTTTGTTTCTTTTTCTTCAATGTAGCCCTTGCACTGTATTTCACTTYATGCGATAAAAAAGCTATTTGGAGGACCACATTACTAGTTTTTTTGAGATTAATCCCATGTTCTTGTTTATGACATAGCTGTTCTGGACCAGCTTGCTAGTCCCCAGACAGTCTGAATGGACTTGACCTTGATGGGGGCTGGAGTATAAAGAAGCACCACTATTCTTTCTTCCTGCACCTCCCAACTCAGTTTCCAATGAGGAAGGTTCAGCAATAAAGAAAACATTTACATGAAAGAGTTATTACATGCATCTGCTTTTCTCTTCCCCTGAGAGCAATTATGAACTATTTGAAAAGGGCTGTCCTTGACTGCAATATTTCTGTGTATCACCACCAGCAGCTGTAGCAATGGAAGCACCTGTGCAGACCACCCTGCAGTGAGACTGCAAGTACATTAACTGTTCTCAGACTTTTTGTAGATAACAGTGGTAACCCAAACACCATTAGTCAATTTATGCTACAGTTTGCCTCGTGGATGTTTAATACCTAAATAGCTTAATAGTTTAATATAATTTCAAGTTTAATATCTAATAGCTAAATATCAATAGTAAAAAAAAAAAAACCCTAAAACACAAAACTTAGGCAACTGTGTCAAGAAAAGAATGCTTGCATGTTTTTATTTCCTTTAAATCTGTATAAAGCATGAATGTAGTGTCRTGGATTGCTTTTGATGAAAGGCAGTCAAATTTCCTCTAGTTCAGGTTCCTTGGAGAAGTACATTATAATTATGAATGGTGAGAAAATGAAAGATTTTTGGTGGTAGTTTTCACTATGAGGGAATTTTCCTTTTTGTTAAAATGGAAGGAGCTTATTTTCCTGGGGAAATTTTTACCCATTCRCATTATCTAAGAGACTCCAAATTTTGAGCCTTTCTTTTAAAGTGGAGCCTGAGATAGCAGGATGAAGAAGCAGGTTGAAATACTTAAGGATTATTTTCAGTGATTCTCCTCTCTAGAAATGGAATGCTTTTCCCACTTCTCCATGTGCTTTTTTCATTATTTGTAGGACTGCCATTGTCCCGCAACTCTCAAGCCAGGAACATCTTTCTCTGAGGTCATATAGGAGACTTTTCTGCTATGAACCTATGTGGAAATAAAGGCAAAATCTTTGGAAGGTCAAGTTTGGGTTTTCCAGGGCATGATTTTGATTGTGTKAGTTGATCTGGAAATCCTGGAGCTTCTGGCATCTCCTTTAGTCTTGAGCCAGACAAGGTAATACCTTCACCAGTGCTGGAGAAGTGAAGTTTGCATTGGGATAGCTCAGGAAAGTTTGCAGTAGGAGGTGTGAGAGAATCCTGCTGATTTAGAACTGGGATGCGATAGAGAGCTCCTGTTATCTGGCATGGAAAATACTTTCCTGATACACTTGTCTTGTTGTGATGTCTGTGGTAGTGATGACAGTGATGAGGAGGGTGTCCTGGAGGAGGAGGACAATGTGGTCCATGATGATGAGGAGGGTGGTGGTGATGTGG